GGTAGGGCGACGGCGGAAGCTGGGGCTGGGCGAGGGCGGGGCGGGCGGGCGGGGCGGGGCGAGGGCGGGGCGGTCGGCGGGCGGGGCGGGGCGGGGGCGGGGCGGGGGCGGAGCGAGCGGCAGCGGTGACGGAGGCCGGAGGCGGCGGGCAGATGCGTGGCAAGGGCCTCAGTGGCACGGAGGCGTGCGGCGGCACGAGTGGTGCCGGAGAGTGCAGCGCCTCGGTTATGTCCCGAGCGCCACCGCCGCCCACCTTGCCGCCTCGCCTCGCTCGACACCCGCCGCGCCCCGCTCCGCGCCGCGTCCCGCCCCGCGCGTCGCCTTCCCCCGGCGGCCTCATCCTCAGAACAGCGCGTCTGGGCGCGCTGACTGTCTTCGGAGAGGCGTCGCGAGCGCGCCGCGCATTGCTTAGGCTCGTTCCTGCCTTAATTTTCCTAATTATATACTTAATTTAGACTCCTCGCAAGCTCTCCTTCGCGTGGCGAGCGGCGCCGGAGGCGCACGCGAGGCGCGGGCGGGGAGGGGGCGGCATGGGCGAGAACGCGGGGCGGCGGCGGGTTGGCTACGGGGCGGGAGAAGAGGCTTTGCACTTCCAGCCCGAGGAAGCTCTGAGAGTCAGGCTCCTCTCTTTCTCAGAGCTCGTCTTCGGGTGTGTATTCAGTCTAATTTGTTTTTTTCCAACTTCGCGTCTCGTGGCCGCTTTGTGCGCACGTCCTTTTCTACCTCTAAGGCCGTGCGCCGCTCCCGTCTTTCCCGCGCCACCACCAGGCCGTCCGCCGCGCGTCTCTGGCTGTGGCACCCCTAGAAACTACCGAAAACAAATTAACAAAAACACGTACAGACGAGATGGGAGGGGAAGTCCTTGTTGGCGGGAAACCGCTGCGCGAGGACAAGGGGTGAGGTTCGGCGAGAGGAGGTGGCTATACGAGTGGTTAAGGCGGGTGGATGTCGAAAACTTTGCCTATGTTCTTGGAGGTGAGGCGAGCGAGACGTGGTGCGCGGGGTGGATGACGCGGGCGGGGCGGCGGCAGAGCCGAGTGAGCGGTTGCGTGGTGGAGAGAGAAAAGTGAACTTTGTAGGAATGGGAAATGGATATGAAGATTGAGACGGAATAAAGAAGGCAGTATATTCTACATGCAAGTGACTTGGCCCGGGCGGCATCATCAGCGACGCGCCATACGCGCAGCGCCACCACGCGGGGCGGCGGGTAGGGCAGGGCGGGAGAAGGGGAGGGGTGGGGCGGGGCAGGGGAAAACGCTATGCGCCCCGCCACGCCTTGCGCTCACTCCGCTCTGCCTCGTCCCGCTGGGGGCGCTCCTCGCCCGACGAGATGAACGTCAACTTCGTAATGTCAATTTTCTTCCGCTGCCGCCGGCACATAACTTTCCTGCGAGCCGGAGATGAATTTAAATTTTTCAGAGAGCTTGAAAATAATTTCCGAGAAACGCAGCGCGTCGTGAAGTAGGGCGGCACGTGAAGTCATGTGAAACCGATAATTACGTTTTCAGAAGATATTCAATTATTGAGATACCGCACATACTGTAAGAAGTCGTAAACTGAATTACGACGTATTTCGTCTTCACGGATAGTGTTGTTTCTTTGGTTCATTTTCAAATTAATGTCCGCAATTAATTTTTCAGAAGAAGAGCATCGCAGATTATTTGTATTATCGTGTGATGAAAGTTACGAAAAATGCTATTGAAATATGCCCGCGACTTCAAGGAGCCGTACCCAACACTAAGAAATAAAGTACAGTAAATAATATAATTTGTTGAATATTTTTAAGGTTACAAAAATATTAAGTTATCATATGAGACAATATCATATTTGACACGAAGACGTCAAAATGATTTGATATAATGAAATTGGCACTAATAATTGAAGTTTCTGAGAAGTCACGAGGATTAATATAGAACTTCATTTAAGTTTATTTGAAACTGACCAATGATATACTAGTGTGATATTTGTGATTCTGTATTCCGTTTTATTGTTTCTGTATTACTTGATTTTCAATTGATTATTTATGTCATCTCTGCAATTTATATACATTACAGAACTGGATGTGTCTATATCTCATATTCGTGGTAGAAACAGGGCAGCTCATGGAGAAGTTGTCTGTTTGTCTCATACCTTTGGGATCTCGTTTTAACCCCGACAGATCCACTAAGGCACGTGCATCCACGAACTTAATTGCCGAAGATAGGCTATTTTCGTCTCCTTTGGACTTCGTTTCCTAACCGTCACACCATCACTTCGAGAGTTCGCCTAAGACTCATCGCCTTTGCACCACATTTAATAGGTACTAGTGATCTCCTTCTTAAAGCTTCTTCCTGCCGAGAGCCAGTAACCCTTTGCGTCCCGATGGGACGCATATTTGACGATACATAAGACATACACACACTTTGCGGACTCCTTTGATGTGGGGTCAGCATAACGCGAGGCCTTCCGCGACAACATGTACATGAGAGACAAGGGACAAACAACCATGCCCAAGGCTGGACTCGAACACGTGACCTTTCGAAACGAAGCGCTGACTCTGTACACTATAAGCCACTTAGCCACCTCAGCCATCCAGGTCGGCAACTAGAGACCTGCAACGTTAAAAATGCTGCTCAACAAAAACACACAAAATGGAATTCCAAAACGCGGTACGAATGCAGCTCAATGAACCACAAAGAAATGACACTCATATAACACTGGAACAAATTAAATATTTTATTGAAATGCACGTTACAACAGTTCTTTGCGTATCAAGTATATCTAAACTGTTGCTGTTCCATAACGCAACACGTGAATAGCAAATATTTAACGGCAGGCAGCCTCTTCCTTGGAGTCTTGCTGTCTCAAAGCATCAGCTACGTCAAAAACAGTGACGAACTGGACATGGGAGTTCAGACGGTACACGCAGTATGACAATAGGCGGAATAACACAACGAAATATTTGGATTTTTCAATCAAAATAGAAACTGAAATCAGAAATACAGAATTTTATATTTTTCTCGAGTTTATGGATATTTAACGTAGCAATAAACAACTCTCAAAAGGCCGGAGCCGGCACTTCTTTTGTTTTAAATTTCAACGCACATTGCAATTTAGTAATGCAGATAGTTTTGTTAGTATTGGAGAGTACTGAACTCGAAATGATCTGAATTTCTATGAAACAATGATCAATATGCACATCCTCACAAACATTATGCAGACTTCCACTCGCGAAATTAAAACCATACATACAAAATGGTTCAATCAGGGTGGTGTACCTCAAAACAATTCTTGCTTTTTCTATCCGATTTTTCTTACCGGTCCTCCCTACTGGCCAATAATAAGCTACGACTCATCTATCTTAAGAGGCGGTATGTATCGATCACAGTGTTAATGTGCAAGAAACCGCGTATGTACTATGGCATAACCTCTTTGATTTTAACAGGCTTTTAGTTATTTTCAATATTTGGTGCACTTTGTAACTCTTTGAACATAATTTCATTTGTAGAATAGTCTTATTAAATACCACTCGTGATTTGGAAATTTTTAGACAAGTCACCTCCTCGCCTTCCGAGTCGGGGATTTATCGACAATTTCCATAGGTCTCGTGGTATTACCTACGATAAATGCATACAAATTATTAATATAATAATAACACTGTTATTGTGCAAACATTCTTGATTCATCCCCATCGGATCACAGAAGAAACGTTTTATATGCTCTTAAGTAGGTGACGCAAATAGAAACGCTGTTAGTGGTAAGATCAATTCTAGTAAGTAAAAGTATTTATATCTCCTCTGAACTAGCGTGCCAACGGACTATAAACGATATGTATATGCTTCAACGTTCTAAGCAAAACTTGTAGAGCAAGTATACTAGTGCATGAATAATCAAATACATTGTGATTGGCATTAAAAATGATGACTAATGTTTACAATTATCGTAAATGCGAAAACAACTTTGAAAGCTCTTAACCTCCCAGTATTACTAGGGAGGGACTCAAAGGCATACCGATGGTTCTGTGTTCTTTAGAGGTTTCAATTTTTTTAAGATGCTGAAAATCAATGACATTGTGTACGATGTGCTTTTTATCTCAATAAGATACAATTTATCACAGGTGTTTGTTATAAATTGAGTTATCGCATATTTTTTGGCTGTGGAAAAAATCGTGACTATTCACTCAAAAATTGAATACGAGTATTCAGAATACTTTTTGGAAATATTTGAAATATTATAGGTCTTAGTGTAATATTACTATAATAAAAAGATACATCAGCATTTATTTAACATAAAAATGCCATAGGTTTTGTCATTAAATGCAAATATTAATGCGGGATATACGAATTGTTTTCATACTATAGAGCCAGAAATTTAATATTTTTTGTTTACATAAATATGACGCATATTATTAGTTGAATCAATTTATCAAAATTGTCACAAACGCCAATAAAATCAAAATTTACGCGGTCAGCTTCAGAGCTCCACCCCCTTTACCATTTCGTGGTAAATCACGGGAGTATTTATACCTTGGTATTGCTAGAGTTGAAGTTACACTTCTCTTTTATTTTTACTTTCTCGCCCTTACAAAGGTACTTCGTAAAAAGGGAAAGTTATGTATTCATGCGCCAGAAAGCGAGTTTGGGGCAGCAAAACACTTATATTTTAATGAAATAATTCGATTGAATGCACCTGGACGAATTTCATTAATCATGAAATGAATATAAAATCTCCCGAAGCTTCGCCTTACTCTTTTCCCTAGTCAAAGTCGATTACGGTCTAGTTTTCCAGCCAATAACAACGATAAAACTTGCATTTCCATTTCAATTGCAGATCCGCGAAGCACCAATGGAGAAATACAGCTCCTCCCTCCGAGGGTAGAGCTGTGGACAAAAGAAGGCTCGTCACAGCCTGTGCCGCCGCCACCGCAGCCGTCCTCCTCAGCGTCTGAACGTCGAGTCTCGGCCCCTCGCGCTGCGCCCTTGTTCTCGCGCGCCACCGCCACCACCGCCACCACACAAAGGGGCGCTCCGGCACAGACAAATGAAGAGCGATCCCGGATAAAGTCGAGTATGTACGGCGGCGCTTTATTTATTAAAATAGTTTATCAGAGAATACGCTTTCTATAGCGCCAAGTTCCCTTAAAACATCTGCAGCGTGAGCCGCATTCGACCTCTATCGAGGAGAATACCTTTCTTGCGGACCCTGGAGAGACGTGCCGAGCCTTCAATTTCCGGGACTGCGCCCCCACACCCTCACCCTCACCCTCACCCTCACCCTCACCCTCACCCTCCTCCTTCCCCCGGCTCCGTCACACCTCCTTCCTCCTCCTCCTCT